CCATCTACATTCCAGCGGAATTTTGCAACAGTTTGATGGTTTCTTGGATTCATGCGCATAACAAAATGTTGCAATGAAAAACGCACCCATAACAACCATTGTACAACTAGTGCTCACAACACAAGCAGCACAGCAGCATGCTTCTAGTTCCATAACTGGTGAGAGAGTCTCCAGGTTCACGAGCGTGACAGTTTGACGATTGACGTTTGACTATCTTGCACTTGCGTCAACGTCAAAAATGAATTCTCTTTACTTGCGAGTTTGCATGCTTTTTTAAAAGTGTGAAGTGAAAATATGAATCGACAATTATTAATTATTTCAAAATCTCATTAATCAGTTTGATTTGCACACATCAAAATTGCTTGCATTTGGATTATTCACCATGATTCAAAAGTCTCGAAGAACGTTTGTTCCAAGAAAGGAATGCTGTACCTACATACTTGCCTGATATCCAGTTAGTAGAAAAAACATACAGAAATCAAAACTAACTTGAAAATCGATCAGCTAGAATAAAATTATGTTAATTATGTATATACCTTATATATTTCTCTCCAGGTTCCATCAGAATTCTCAATGATGTGAGTAAAACAAACCACAGTTGAAGACGGCTGGGCAAAATGCATTGAACATAGGTACCTACTTAACTCAATTCTCAGATCGGAGACTGTCATGCCTCTTTTCGCAACTGAAGCCTATTAATTATTGCCACAGGTGAAATAGATAAATTGGAATTGTATTAATTTTAAAGTTAATTAGAGTTGATTTCAGGTACTCAAAGTGAAACCAAGAAATCCTGAATTCTGCCTTCGATTTGGAAATTCTGAAAATGAGGATTGATAAACAAAGGGAGACCTACAAACCCTGAAAATTTACCAAAGGAGTAACTAGGTACCCAATGAAATATCTTTGGTCAAATTTCATGTGAAGGTGCAAGAATATTACAATGTAAAACATTGATACTCACCTTGGAATGATTGTAGTAAATTATATCATAAAAAAAATCTATAGTCTAAATATAATGTTGGAAACTATTTGTTTTTATGATTAGATAATATTGGTCATATTTTCACAGGGTATCTAATGAATAATTCCACATATTCCATCAGTTAGGTATACCCATCAAAATAAGTAATCTTTTTTTTTTCACAAAAAAAGTTTTCTACTTATCTTGATGATAAAGCTAATTGCTGAAGATTGTGCAAATAGATAAACTATGAAACACCCAGTGAAAATACAAGTAACAAACAATAAGACCACAAAGACATAAAAAAATACAACACTAGAATGTTTTTATTGAGGAAAAATAACAGTGCCTATTATATTTATGAATCAGTATGTCTATAATAAGGGTTAGACAAGTGTTCCATCATGAATATATTTCCTTTTTGAGATCACTTGGAGGCCCACTCATTTGTGTTCTCATAATATCATGTAGTGTTTCCATACTCTTCACTAGTTGTAATGTGACCTTTGTTATAGGTAGATATTATATATTCATTGTAAATCCTTTTTGATAGCTCTAAAATCAAAATATTTCCCAATACCCTTTAGCCATAAGCAAGGCCACAATAGTAACTCTGCTATTTGACTTGAAAATATCAATAAGTAGCTGAGAATTACAAAATAGGTATCAGGAAACTAAACTGTTGAATTCACCTTTTAATCCTTGAACCCTATGCTTGGCCTCTAAATAGTCATTTCTGTGGAAGTACTATGCATTGGCATTGCTGAAAAAATAACAATCAGCATTTCTGTATGTACATAAGAAGTGCTGACTTAGGTGTTGAATATAGGATAAAACCTGTGCTGGCTGCAGTGTTCCATCATGAACATATTTATTTTCTTTCTTAGCTCACTTGTCATGTTTTTGAACTGTACACTGGAAGTATTGCTGTCTTTTCCATATATATATAATATATTTATAGTGAACCGTTTTGCTAGCCCTAAAATCAGAACCTACAAGCTGTCATAACCAAAAAGATTCTTCACAAACATACCTAGATGACCTACTGCGTTATGTGTTTCCCAATTTTGAGCAGGATATTGAATATTTTTCTCCTCATTTCAGCCATAAGAGAAATTTTGTCAAAAATCCAGGAGAAATGAACATCGAAAGGGCACTTTTATTACCTCAGATCAATCCTCCATCTATATCATTTCAACTATTTTGTTTATTTGCTATTCGGCTTGGAAATAGAAATAACTACCTCACAGTTCGAAAACTGGAAGAACATTCAGATTTCCGAAGATTAATTTGTTTCAGGTTATTGATGATTGGAAATAGAAATTATATAAAAACGTAAACAAAATACAAATGACAAATGAAAGCAAATACACTGTTGCCAAAATTTAGTTCACGTCTCCGTTTTCCATTGGCCAGGAGCGCCCAGGCGCCTCCTACTAGTTGCGCGCGCCGAACTGAATTGTTATTATCATCAAACAAAACAATTCAAACAAAACAATTCAAACAAAACAATTCAATCAAAACAATTCAAACAAAACAATTCAAACAATTGAATTCACCAATCTATATGGTGCAAAAAATTATCATCAAACAAATAAATTCAAACAAAACAATTCAAACAAAACAATTCAAACAAAACAATTCAAACAATTTAATTCACCAATCTATATGGTGCATGAAATTATCATCAAACAAATAAATTCCAACAAAACAATTCAAACAAAACAATTCAAACAATTTGATTCACCAATCTATAAATGGTGTTCATGTAATAATCATCAAACAATGTAATTCACTAATTTGATGTTCAAGTAATTATTGTCAAACAAATGAATTCAAACAAATAAATTCAAACAATTTAATTCATCAACTCTATTGCTGGTCTTTCTTATGGATGAATTATTATGTTACATGAATTTATACGATTGATGATTGTTTTTTAACGAAATAAAATGTTTGACGAATATTTTTCATCGAACATTTAAAATCATTCATAATAATAGGCTCAGTAATATTCAACAATCAAAAAAATACCTGTCACCAGAATTGTTCAATTTTGAAGATTGATGAATTTAATTGTTCTCTATTTTTATGATTGTTGGTATAATTCCAACAATCACTTAAATTCAGAAATTTCTATTCACAACAAACAATTTAATTCTTCCATCCATTCAGTTGCACAACTTCGAAGGTATGTATTCTTTTGATTGATGAATTAAAATGTTACATGAATTTGAACGATTGATGATATTTTTGCAACAATCGTTTTAAATAGATGAACGATTTAAAAAGATTGTTGTAAAAAAATCATCAAACAATTCTATTCATGATTGAAATATAAACGACAAACGAATACAATTATTTGTGGACAACATTATAACCGTCAAACAATTAAATTCAACAATCATTTTAATTCTGAATACAATTTTTTTGATTGATGAATACAAATGTTACATGAATTATTATGATTGATGCTATTTTGATGTTGGTCCTCAGAATTATAGGTATTCAAATGTTTGGTGGAAAAATTTCATGAAACAATTTAATTCATGAAACATGTGAAATGAACGAACAAATAAATCGAATTTTTTTTATCATGAATCATTAATATTTCCTTCAATGATTCATTCAATCAATTTTATTCAAGAATAAGATTCGTTCTCAACTCAAAGAAAATTACCAAAAAGAAGTATTTATTGTTTGAACCAAAAAATAAATTCATTTTAAATGTTATATGAAAATTTCCATGAAACATATTAATTCATGTTGCTATTTTATTTGGTCATTAATTTTAATAGAAATCATTTAAGAGGAGTAATTAAATTGATTGTTGATTTCAAATGTTTATTGATAATTTTATTCGCCTTTCTCCATGATAAAGGATAGCATTTCACTTTAATATTAACCAAAATATTTATTATATAATTTTATTTCACCAAAACAGTTATTATCTGAATTTAAATGATTGTTATTTTTATGAATGATGAAAACAAAATCTTCCACATTAAATTTCTTCGTAACAAAATTTTGCCCAATCATTCTAGAAGTATAATGATTTAGTCATGTAATAAAAAGTAAAACGGCGTTCCATAGATCTCGAATCCACTGCTGATGTCTGTATCTTGAATCCATCATTATTCATTACCATTTCATGTACGATTCAATTTCCGTTTTCCTTCAAATTGAATACACAGGTATTGTATAGGTGTTTTGTACTCAAATACTGTCTCTAGGTTAGTCGAAGAGGTCTTTTCTCCCCTCGTTTCGATGAAATAAAAATATGGCTAGATAATTACAATATACGTGTAGTGAAAGAGAATATATTCAGATTACTTGCCCCAAAATGTCACCTCGTTTCAAACATAACGAAAGATAGATTTTTTTCATTTTTTATGTTGAAAACGGAAGCATATTCGTTCCCGAAACGTCCAAAGATGAGGGATAAATCGATATTCTTTCAATGTTTCTCTTCTTCAACATTTTTCAAAACACAGTGTCACTGACGAATGAATTTTTCGCAGTGACATTTTATATCAAATCATGAAAAATGAAGTCACAGCTGGTTATTGTTAAAAAATCAATTTCAGTTCAGTAGCCTGTTGCCGTGCCTTCCTTCTATAATAACACATATTATGGAGAGTATAAGTATTTTATGAAACATGATAAAACTGAAGAAATCTATAGCGGTAAATTGTCAAAGCAAAGACGGATACTTCTGTCGTTCATATACGAATGCCTCGGATGGTATACATGGAAAGAAATTAACCAAACTCGAAACTTGAGACATAAATAAAGCGCTGTGAAGTCGTTCCGAACCTTGTTTGGTGCTATGCATCGCTATATCGCCTTTCTCGTTTAAATTCTCGATGTCCAAGTTTACGAAGGAAATGACATAATATTCAGTTGATACCCGTGATTATAATGAGTTCCAATCTCACAAAAGTTTGTTTCTCAAGAGATTCACTTTTCTCGATTTAGCACCGAAAAAATAAACGAATGGAAAGCTACGGCCTTGACAGTTTTGTTTTTGTTACAGAATTGGTGGTGGAGCGAATGGTATCTTCACTAGGCGACTGGACTTCAGTTCATTCAACGCCCTACCCAAAAATAAACTGAATTCTTATCAAATAAAGGTGAGTTCAACCAAAATTATAATGAACTATGTGACTTCCAATCAACTATTGCCACATGGCAATAAGGACACTAATTTTGTTCAACGTTTTACTGTACATATTATACAGGGTGTCAAATCGTAGATTTCATCCATCATATTAGTAATGATAGAAGTAGCAGGGAATGAACATTGATTCAATCAAATATCCAAATATCATCATGGATCAGCAATATAATGAATATATCATGATCCATTCAATAAAGTGCTTTCGTTTGTCTACGCTCCGTGCATGGTATCGAATGGAAGGAATTATACCCTTGTAGAATTTATCCTGGTTCCAATACTGATTTGTACAACTGTACACAATCGGAATGTAGTTACGCAACGCATTCGACCCTTTTCACGTTGTCCTAGGGCTAGGGACTACCCACGCATTCCAGCCCTTCATTTAAATCAATAAAACAACTCTCTCTGAAATCCCGTATTTTACACCGCATTATTTCCACCATCAGATCGCAAATTATCTTATTTGAGAAAAAAAATTATTTTGTTTTTTTTTTCAATATTTTTCATTTATATATTCGTTTTGAAGACCGCGAACTGTTGTTCAGTTATAACACCCAAACAATCAGAATATATCCAAATATTATCTTTCAGCAATACAATTAGGTTTTGTATTATTGAAGATGTGAACTCGATGATGATAAATAAGGTAAAAATGTATTATGGAATGTTTGGTCTGTGTAAACAAGAACGTATGCAATGTAAACAAGGCAAGATATTTTCGGAGCTCGGCTGTTCGAAAACAACTGTGTAACTACACAAATATTATGGCACCGAAACAGTTGAATAAATATAAGTTTTTCGGTATAGAAATGATTGTGATGATTGCTGAAATGGGTACTTATAATTCCAGTGCCTATGAAAAAAGTTCATGAGAATTCGTTTTTCGAACAAAAAAAACTGTCCACCATAATACTACCCCTGTTGATAATCTTTGAGTAAGTCCTATACAATTTTCACAAATGACTAGAACAGAATTCTCAAGTCAAAAATATGAGTATCTAGCACAGGCTCGACGTTGATATAAGGTTCATTCGGGTTCAAACACAATAATTACTGTTCTAGAACTGTACGAAATTTTTCGGAATCGTCCTGGGACTATTTTTGGCGCAGGCTCATTTTTCTTCATATATTATGTCAGTGGTCATATGTCACATACTAATAACATAGGTCGAGTTTTTGAAGAACAAGTGTATTTTGGTTTATTCTGCTGTTTATTGTTCTTCCTTCTCAATATTAAGTTCTTGAATCTTCATCGTCCTCAGGTCGAGTTTTTGAAGGACAAGTGTATTTTGGTTTATTCTGCTGTTTATTGTCCTTTCTTCTCAATATTAAGTTCTTGAATCTTCATCGTCCTCAGGAAGCAGTGGTGAAGAGTTCCTTGCTGAAGTTGTTACCTACCTACCTACCTAATGTTTCCGAAATACATCCAGGATACCAACGTTTTCGTTTTTCAACCTTTTTTACGTCTATTTATCTCAAAAACCGCATAATTTGACACTGACGGGGTTTTTTAGGATGAGCAGTCGAAATCTGTTCATAGTTTTGTACATAGAAAAAGACAGCAGCAATAGTGTCCTAAAAATGTATCCACATCAGTAGGATCTCAAAGAAACCCTCAGTTGATGAATATTTGCAGAAGGAGGAGAAAAGGAAAGCAACTATAGAATCTTGTTTTTCCAAAAACTATGACAACTCTTGGACTGGAGGTTTGTATACCTATTATACACCTTTTAAAGACACCACTGCTTATTCTCGCTTTGTTTTTTCGAAAAAAAAAAGAACTACAATAATACCGGTCTGGACCGCTTAGTTAGGTCACGGTCACGATAACAATCAGAGAGGACCTTTTGTCCAGCACCATAAAAGTGTCTGAATTGCGAATCGGAGAAGTCGAAGAATTACGAATAGGTTTGAGTTTGGCCAGAAATCAATATTGATATCGAAGATTCGATTCTTATCCTAGGAAAAGTACATTTTCATCATTAGAAATAACAAAGGTGACGTTATTTTCAGAAATATACGGAGAATGTGGCAACAATGGATAGGTATGCCATCTTTGAATTTTGTATGCGATCAGTTCATGAATTTCTTCCAATATCTGATGATCAGCACCTGACATAATTTTCCAATCCAGGACTTCTCCTCATACTGTATAATTCAATTATGACTTATGGTTCACTTATGATATATCATGACCAACTAGAAAAAATTTTAAGATGAAAATTTACCTTTGCTCCAACTCGAGGACCAGAACGGTACAGTTTCCTCTTTTCTTGTTCAGACCTGAGTTAAGTATCATCCAAAGTAAACGCTAGGCATATAGTTCACATTTTATTACAGGAACTTACAATATGTGAATTACATTACATCACAATTGTGGGTATTTCATTCAGTTCTTGTACCTGTTGGGTTGGTTGTATCTTTGCTTATGTTTTTGGGAACATTAGCACCTGCAATGATTATAGTGAACATTTAGATTTTGATACAAATTTGTGGTCATATAGCTTCCCTCAATACAGTCCATGTATAGTCTTTCAACTGATGTAGTCATTCCAGGGTGAGAAATTCTCGAACTCCAGGGCAGTCCAAAAATAAAAAACAAATAATGATAAGGTGACATTACCGTTAATTTATTTAAACCTGAAGAAGATCTTGTAACTTCCATGGTAAAATCATTGACTTACTATGCTCTTGCTGTATAACATTTCATTCTGAAACTAATGTAGATTAACTCTGACTAAACTTTGTTGGTTCTTATTTTTCCAAAAATCAAATTTTTAAGTGGCGCCCCTTTCAAAATATATAAAAAAAAACTGTTTTTTCTGTGACGGGAAAAAAGTTTGGCATTTCATCTCTGTTGGCTGGTTATAAAATGTCACTTTTCATAAATTACTTTTTTCCCGTGGGAAAAAAGTGAGTACTTTTTTCCCGGATATATATCACATATATATATACACTGTTGAAGGTTTTTGTTGCGCTATAGTTCCGAAAAATGAGTCAATAATACCGTCTCCGAGAAAGAACTGCAAGTCCTTTTATCTTCCATTCGACTTCGCGGTTTCGTATATTACTAAACAACTACTGAATTCGCAATTTTTTAAAATCAAATTACAGAATTGAACTGACAGAAGTGACATCAGATATTTGATTACTTCAAAAGAATGATAAAGATGCCTATAAAACGCAGGTGTCCCTACTGTTAAAAACTTGAAATTTCACGTCGATTTCGAAATAATGTAATATCTTCTCAATATTGATTCGCCCTTCCTTCTGTCACAGAAAAAAATAGTGTATTATACACGGGAAAAATATTAGATTTTAGCTCACGGTTTTTTGTCTCCCTCCGCTACGCGTCGGGAGACAACACAACCTGGAGCTAAAATCTACTACTTTTTTCCCTTGTATAATAAATAACTATTATTCAACATGATTAGACCAAGCCACTTCCCAGCTCTTCAGACACATTGGGAATTCATTATGAGTAAGGCTTTAGAATAATGCGAAAGGTTGTGATAGGGGCTTCATGCGTTTTAGTTACATAACTAAAAATGTTATTCGCTGGTCTTTGAGAGGTGAAAATTATTATTCAACAGAGATAGCTTTATAGAGAGTTCTATCTGAATTGTGGAGTGTTTGTTTGCATTCATGGCGGCAGATGCAAATTAAATCGACTCCAATTAAAACTGTACTCGAGTTGCAGTATTCCATGAAAAATATTAATGAATTTCTCAGACAGATGAAGAGGTACTACGCAAAAACAATCGGCTATCAGACATTTAGACAAGAATCCATCACTTTGTCTCAATTAACAGAAAAAAATGCATGTCTCGAACATTGCACTGATGGGCCATGCAACTGCCGAAATCAATAACTATACAGGGTGTTTTGAAATTCAGTATCAAAATTTCAGGGACTTATTTTTCAGGTCAAAATAAGATTTCTTTCCTATATGAATATGTATCCGCAAACGCTTCGTTAGATCGTAAGATCACAAACTGAAGCGCGTTTTTGTTTAAATTGTGATAATTTATAGGTTCATCCCTTTCGTCAAAAATATTTATTATATACAAAGGAAAAAAAAGTAGATTGAATACATAATATGTATATATATATACAAGGAAATCCAAGGAATTCAGAGGGAATCCAAAGAATTCCAAGGAATTCCAAGGAAACTATGTTCCCGTATGTAATATAAAGTGTATTGTTGATTATCGAAATACAAATATTAGCTTGGCATAGCGTGAGTGCGGTTGCCTATTAACATAATTTGTTTCGAAAAAGAGTAGGGATTTTCAATAATCTTCAAAGAAACGAGTTGTATTTGTTAAGATTATTTCACTCAGCTATCAACAATCGAAATACATAAATGAAAACATCATGTTTTCGATTATCCACTCAGATATTTCGACCAATCAAAAACGTGTATTTTGAAATCAATTGAATAATCGATAAAACCTTAATTTGCAACGACCTATGTGTAAAAATGACTCAATTTCTATTGCATGAAACAATATAATAATGGTAGGTATATAGTTGATAACCGTCTTTGTTGTTATGATCACATTACAGGAATAAAAGAAGTGTCTTTTTCATCTATGCTATAGGTAAGGACGAAATAAAAACTTCCACTGCTTGGAGTGGAAGTCCGAAGAAGTTACGAGAGAAAATACATCTCGATGATTAGAAGGATAGCGAGAAAGTCCCGTTTAACAGTAAATTTTCCTCCTGCCAGCTGTAATTTCTTCGAAGGAAAAGCTAAGGTTGGGCTCTGGGCTCGAATAACCCGTCTTATAAGAAGTGAAAATAGACATAACGAGACCGGACAAGTTACGACTTCCAACGCACCAGTACAGTTACGGCTGCTGTCTAACTATTTCATTCGATTGAATTCTAAATGCGATCCACTGACACATACGAGGGCGCTTCTAAATACAAGGTCATCTATCATTGTCG